TGCAGCACCATGATTGACCATGGCAATCGTCAATTAGAGAAATACACCATTACACACTGTGCAAACAATTTCCAGGGCAGTGTCCTGGTCTAGCAGGGGGAAGGCCAGGAAAAAACACACAGATAGTTCAGGATGCTCACTGCAGAGTAGCTTGGCACAGTTTTAATGTCATTTATGGGCTTGGAGTGTGAGGAAGGGGCTTCTCTGCTAAGTGCAGCAGGCTCAGGGCAGGCCGCCGTCTGAGCAGGGCTCTGCGCGCCCCCGCTCACCTGATCTGCTTTACTTCCCCAGGGGTCTCCTGGATCGCAGGTTCCCGGCCCCCAACACGTACATCGACGACCCCTTCCGCCAGCTGCGCGGGGCTGGGCACACCCACCCAGTGTACGCCAACGCTGACGCCCTGGCACACACGGTAAAGACCGAGCGTCCCGCACAACAGTGACCAAGGAACAGACAGGCCCGCGAGGGACGGGCGTTGGCACTGGCGCTGAAGCCGGGGGACTGTCTGAAGAGGGCACAGGGCTGGTCAGGGCGGCAGAGCCCTGACAAGGGAGGGCATGACCCTGTAGCGGTCAAGGGGCACCACTGCACTGTTGCCCTGGGCATGGACGGCTTCGCGGAGAGGACCGTGGTTCTTTAACGTCTGCCTGGAAGGCAGTAGAAAAAATAGAAAAATGGATGCATGGACAAAATTGCTTAACAACCCTGATCCTGCTTTAGAGTTCGAAGAGTCTGAAGATGCTGATTATCACAAAACCACAGAGAAAGTGAGGATGAAGCAGCTGGACATGGTTGGATTCAGAAAGCGTATATAGATTCTGTATACAGTAGAATTTGTTAGCCCATGCAATTGTGTTGTTTGGGCCCGATCATTTTCCAGTGGTGGGAGAGTGGTTAGAATTTCCAACTCGCAGCTCTGAAGTCCGGGGTTCATTTCCTGGGGTGCTGTCTGTGAGGAGTCTGCATGTTCTCCCCACATTCTCATGGGTTTCCTCCTGGTGCCCTGGTTTCCTCCCACAGTCCAAAGACATGCTGGTGGGTTAATTGGGGAAATTGGACCCGGTGTGTCCATGTGCACTGCAATGGACTGGGATCCCGTCCAGGGTGGATCCTGTCTTGTGCCTGCTGCTTGCCAGAATAGTCTCTGGTTCCCCCGGAACCCCTGACTGGATAAACTGGTTAGAAAAGGGATGGGTGGATATCTCAGTGGTACTTTAACGTGCAGCTGGCAATACCGGACCCCCCTTTGCCTCTATTAGTTTGGTAAAGCGAGGGGTTTTCAGTACAGTGCTGTTGAGCAAAATTATCCTCTCCCGTTTGTGAAGGGCTGCAGCAGAGTTGCAGGCTCCAGTCCTGGGAGGCCAGAATCCAGTGTGTTTTCCAGGTCTCTTGAGACCACCAACAGCTTGGAGGCCTTTGAAAAGTGTTAAATGCGTCCAGTGATGTTCATCTTGAAATCAGTAAGGGCAAAGATGGAGCAAGAACCTGGGGACAGCACAGGCCCGTCAGGACTAGAGCTGTGCATCACTGATCTGTGGTAGAAATGCTCTTGTGTGGTTTGAGGTAAAATCTCTTTCCACCCTCCAGCACGAGAGATCTGTCCAGCTCGCCAGACAGTTTTATTTCGGCTGTTGTTTACTGATCACTGTCACATTGGTTTAAACCCGACACTCCTGTAACTTGGCGTCCACTTTAGGAACGTCTGGCCTCTCCACGGACTTCCAAGATTTAATTTTCCCTTAAGACACCGTAGATCACATTTTGGTACCATAATTACATGCTTATTTACAACCTGGCATTTAGTAAAAAGATTGGGGAAATCCCAGAAGATCTGGCATTCCAGCTCTCCTGTTCCCATAAACATCAAATCCTTACAAGTCATTCTCCTTTCTCTTAAGAACAGAAGCAGGGTCTTTGATCCAGCTGTTTCTTAATGGTGCCCAGAGTTTGGGCCTCAACCACCTGGCTGGGAAGCCTGTTCCACACTCCTACCTGTTCTCTGGCCTGAATTAATTCACCCTAACTTTCCAGTTGTGACACCAATGTCCTCGTTTCACTGCAGTCCTCAAGATGCAAACCTATATATAGCCCTTGTGATTTTGCATACTTGGATTAAATCTCTGAAAGCACACCTCTATTGCTCTGAAGGCACACCTGTATTTGGGTGAAGGCACACCTGTATTGCTCTGAAGGCACACCTGTATTTGGGTGAAAGCACA